GCTGTGCATGCGTTATCCTTCATGGCAGGAGAGACTTAGCAAGCATGAGGAAGTAGATCCTGAGATGGAAACATCACCCTGAATTTGGGTGGGTACAACCCCATTATATGAGGGTGACAGGAGGGGGCATGCAAAAGAAAACACGGCAAAAACACAGGTAAGGGGGCATGGCTGAAAGCCTAAGGATGTGGTCAGTGTCCAGAACATGGGAGAGGCAAGATGGATTTTCCTGTGAGGCTCATTAGAATGTCTGACCTCCAGAACTGTGTGTCAGTTTGCATCGTCTAAGCCACTACAATTGTGACAATTATTATGTCACATGAAATCAATACACCTTATTTTTTCTACTCTGGAGAATGTGAGACCTAATCTGGGCCTTTTTTGTTTTAACTAAGATTTTGCAATATTCATATAATATAATTTGATGGTGTTTCAATCCCCTCCCCTATCCAGATCTCCTCTTACTTTCCCTCACCAAATTTAATGTTCCTCTCTCCCAGATTCCTCTCTCTTATATATATATCCTTCAGTGTGGGTCCATCCACTGAAGCCTGGTCAGCTTACTAGGAGTCCCATACTTGAAAGAGACTGTTTCTCCTTACCCAACAGCCATCAGTTGCAAAGTGTTCCTTAGGTTGGGTTAAGGTTTCTTACCCACTTCCCATGTCTATGCTGGGATTTTGTCTGGTTTGAACTTTTATGGGACTTGTGCATGCTGTCACCATTGCTATGACTTCAGATAGTAATTGATCAGCTGTCTGGAAAAATTTAAATTAATTAATTAATTAATACTATTCCTGTACTTAGTTCAGGATATTTTAGCGAACGTGCACACATACTATCAGAATGAGGGTTCCTTCTCCTTAAACTTCCAAGTTAATTTTTTTCCGTTTTTTAAAGTATTTTTTATTATTATTTATTTATTTATTTATATTTATTTATTTATTATTGTGTGCGGGCCAGTGTGCTAACATGCATGTGCTATAGCAAGTGTGTGGAAGTTAAAGAACTATTTTTAGGGAATCTATTCTTCCCTTTCATCATATGACATTGAATTCAGCTCCTCAGACTTGGAAACAAATGCCTTTGTCCTCTGAGCTTTCTCATATACCATAATCATCACTTTTTGACAATTTAGAAATTTTGAAGTATGCAAGGCAGCATGTTCCACAGTCTAGTGAATATACACTTAGCATAACCTGGCAGGAGCTCTCTCTTTCACTGCAATGTGCCAATATTCCCATACTCATTCCATAATTTCTTTTAAACCTGAAGCGTATGTCTTCCAGTGTGTGGATTATAGGTGCACAGCCTGTCTAGCTGTCTACAAGGGTGCTGGGGATCCAAACTCAGGTCTTCATATTTCAAAAATCTGTGGAACTTTTTAACAGTGGAACTTAAAAACCTTTAATTTCAGGAATCTTCATTTACTTAGTAAAACTAAGATACTTTATTGGTAAATGAAATTGAAATTTTTTCATCATTATGGAAAATGTCCTCTTTCCTTCAGGACATTTTCTGATATAATCAGTGAACTGAAAAGCCCCACTGCTTGGAAACTTTAATGAGTGTGCACACAAAACTCAAAACAACAAAACACTTTTTCCTACAAGCCTACTGTGGAATGAAAATAAACAATTGGGGTTTATGCTCCAGGCAGTCTTTTTCTGTGACTGAAATAGAAATGCAGGTTAAATCAGGAGTGACTTTTGGTAACTTCTTCATTAGTTGCTCTCATGACGCCCAGTGTTTCTGGCTCCCTTCAGCCTTTGTTGTCACCTTTGAAGCTTCATTTCAGTTTATCGACATGCTCAAGCACTTGAATGCCAGCAATTGTCTATGATTTATTATTGGAAAAGAATTTAGAAACATTTTTCTCCACTCTACTATGATACCGAGTAAAGTCTATTGCAGCTTCCATGTCTTGACTTACTCTGCCTATCAATAGACTAATATTCTTCAAACAAATGTACATACACACCCACATAATATGCATACACAGATGAATTAAACAACGTCAATGCTGTTTATAAGTAAAGCCTCTTACAAAATGATAAAAGGCTAAAGAAAACAATCTTACAATGTTCTCTTGATTTTTAAACATGTTCCAAAAAATAAATAAATAAATAAATAACTATGCAGGTAGAATTAAAGGGAGATTTCACAAATATGGCCAGAATGATTGCCTGGGTTTTGGAAAAACATTTCTCTTTCTCAAAATAATTTTTTGGTTGATGGATTTTTATTTTTATTTTTATATGTACAAGTGTTTTGTTTGAACATAGATACGCCCATGTGTGCAGTGCTCACAGAGGCCAGAAGAAGGCATCAGACCCTTGGAATTGGAGTTACAGATGGTTGTTAGCAAGAGCATCCAGTGCTCTTAACCACTGAACCATCTCTCCAGCCCCCAAAAATTATATCTAAAGATATCAATATCAAGCCTTTTCTGTGTCATTTGAATACTTTTTAGAAATGTCAAGAGAACAACTGTGCATTTGAAACTGACAAACTGACAATCCCTCTGTCACACATGGTCCTACCAAGAAATAATTAGTAATGTCAGGATAGACTTTTTGTTTTTACAGAAGGATTTAGGCACTTCGGTCTTTATGCATATAAATGCTCATTTACTTAGAAAATTTCTTTCCATAATTGCTTCATTTGCAGCCAGATGAGTATTTCAAGATACTCTTTCCAAATTTTGGGCTGATGTTGTCAGCACTCACAGACTTTTGAGGCTGGATTTATCAGTGGCATTATCTGGTTCAGTGCTTGTCTTTGGCAGACGAGCTGATGTAAATTAATTATCTAAAGAAAATTTGTAGAGCAGAGAATGAAAAGCACAGTCATTAGCATTTCAGGAGAGGAAAGTGAGGCATGAAGATGTTAACTAAGTTGCCAGCTTTATTAGAGCTTGTTACAGAAGTTGGGACTAGTATTAACTTGCCAAAATTTCATTTGGTGCTTTCCACTGTTCTCTGCCATCTTGGTACTGTTGATGGTTTTAAAGTGTCACCTGGACGTGGAAAGACAATTTGATAAAAAGTAAATGTTTCTTGACTTTCTGGATCTCACAGATAATGTCAAGCTATGTTGATGCCTGGGAAGGTGGGGCTTTTAATGTCATGACTTGATACCTCTAGGGTTTTATGGAACTGAACTCCAGAAAGAAAAGGACAAAACCACTTCAATGTGTGTTTTAACAAACTTCACATTAGTTGTAATATTTTGACTATGCAACACATAAGATCTTTTTTAAACAAAATGTATTTATAGTTTTAAGTCTAGCTTCCAGCTTCACTGACTAAACAAATGTAGTTGTTCTGAATGGAACCTAAATTGCTTTCAACATTTCATTACAAAGGAATTATATTTGAATCTTTTCCAGCGCTCTCACCATAGCTTTTAAAAAAGAAATTATCCAAACAGGTGAAATCAGCCATTATGAAATATAACCTACAAACCTCGAGAGTCACACTGGAGAACAGTACTGGAGCAGGGAGATTTAAGTCAAGTGATAAACTTGTTTGATTCTCGAAGTACTCACGCTAACAATGTTTAGCACACTTACTTTTGAGTACAGGAAATTTACTTCAGTTTATAATGCTCTTTAACAGTACAGAATTTATTAGCTATCCCCTGAAGATTAAATGAAGTTCAGTCTCATAAATCCATATTTAATATATGTGTACAGCTATTTAAAACAGGATATAACTGCATTATAGTCTATATTTAAAGGACACAATTAGCTAAGCAATATCTATTTGAAGGTTTACTACTCAATGCTCAGGTATGCATCTACAGAGCAGTCCTACATGGTGGGTCTTTCTACACTGCTCATTTTTACATGTGGAAAACCATTACAGAGGATTAAAGTGATTGCACAGCATCAAACAGTCACTGACAGAAGGTCAAAGTTCAGTTAAAATATATTGGTGCCTGAGACTATGAACTTACTGGTTTTTGTGTTGTCCATACTTGCAAGTCTATGTGCAAGTCTGAGCTGGAAATTTAAAAATGAAAGTAAAGTGATCGTTTAAAATAAAAACTATATATAATTTTATAAGATACCAGAGTATACATTTGAGGGCTATGCTTCCAAATATGACCTTAAAAACAATGAGACAGTACAAATGAATTGTAGGCATTTATGATGGGACTCCTAAATGGATGTACAGAATTTTGAGGGGATTCTAGTATTCTGAGATAATATGTCCCATGATGCAAACACAAAAATATTCCCTTGAGGATTTGGGGATGGGGCAAGATTTCTATCTTTCATACATTTCCGGAAAAATGAATTATTCCCAGTTGATGCTTCAGACCACAGTGTGAATAGATTGATAGCATCTCTTTGCTGCTGTGTATCCATTCTGGACCAGTATGGGTCAGAAAAGGAAAATTCTTTCTGTTCCTCATTTCTTTCCCATGTCCTACTGGATGTACTATTTCAATAATGAAAGTGTATGGCCTGAATTGGAAGAACAGTTTCCGGAGAACTGAGAAGGAAGACTTCAGAGAGCAGATTGGGCTCACTCTTAGTTTTAAATGACTCCAAGAGCCAAGTTATCTTTATTCAGGTACCGATACATTGTTGCATCTCTGACACAAGAGGCAACTGTACTGTGTATGGTATAGAATAAGAACGAATGAGTTTTCATTTTTATAGATGCTAGAATAATCCTTCATTGAGACATCAACTTCCTGAAAATGACTTTAAACAATACACTGCTATATATCAGTGTGTGTAGAACTCATATATTATGTATCTTATATATGTAAGAGTATTCAGATATATGCTCATTCACATCTTAACTATACATATATGCTCGGACCTGAAACAGGGTATCATAAAACAACATGTGTCTTTAATACATGAAGTATAATTTGATATTTGCTTTCATTCTGTTTCTATGAGATTCAGATTAATAAATTGTTTACCATATACTATTAATCACAGTACACAATAGAGAAGCACCACAGTAAAATTTGCTCACCAGGGCAAATTCCTTGTTCAGAATCATCTGCTCAACTAAAGATGACTCGTTGTGGAAGAGGTGGGGCTGCATGTGGCTCCACATGTGGGGAAACCACCAGAACTCATCCACGGACCTAAGCAGAAGGTCATCTCCTTCGTCCTCCTCTTCAGTCCCTATGAAACATCAAGGGAAAGTGGCTTCAATGGAGGTCTTTTACTGGCATAAAGGTTAGTTTTGTAAGCTTCATTTAATCCTTCACGCTGCTTTCTGAATCAGAAGAGAACAAATAACCTCAGGGGAAAGGGGGTTTGGGACCTGGGTGGTGGGTGCTGTAATCCTAGATGAAGTTTAGGACTATTCATTATGAAACTGTTTAGAATTGCTAGCACACAATGGTAATAAGCAATAAATATATTTTTAAATTTTATCAACAGGTGAGTTATCAAATTATTCCCTGCTGTACACAGAAAACTTGATCAGGGGGTGCTAACTCACTTTTTTATATAAACTTTTTCTTGTGTATGTCTAAAGCTGAATTGCTAATTTGGTGAATTTTATTACATTTTTTTTTCTGATTATAAAGTATCATATATTTATTGAAGAAATGTGGAAAATAAAAGCAATCTAGAAAGGTAAATAAAAATAAAACAACCTACAAATTCATCTTCTAGGTCAAACCAGTGGAAAAAAACTAGTTTTGCATTTTTCTTTAAAATCTTTTAATACATTTAAAGAAAAACAGCTGAGCACTTACTCTGTATGTAGTTTTGCTTCATTACATTTTAAATTAATGTTATGCACATGCAATTTCCATTTTAATACTTCTTAAAAGTTTAACATTGAAAATCATAATTATTTCTAAAAGAAAGCTGACTTTAGAATCTGAAGCTAGTATGTCTTATCAAAAAGCAAATGGTCTGGAGCTGGAGAGATGGCTCAGCGGTTAAGAACACTGGTTGTTCTTGCAGACGACCCAGGTTCGTATCCCAGCACCCACATGGCAGCTAACAACTGTCCGTAACTCCAGTTCCAGGGGATCCAACGGCCTCTTCTGTCCTCCACAGGCATTGTACAACACAGGTACACTTACCTACAGGCAGGCAATACACACATATACATAAAATAAAAATAATAATTATTTTTTTTAAAAGGAAATGGTTGTCATGTGAAACAGGAAACACTGTAATCTTGTCATTAAAAGCAACAGGAGCCAGTCATGGTGGCACACACCTGTAGTCCCAGCACTTGGGAGGCAGAGGCAGGTGGATCTCTGTGAGTTCAAGGCCAGCCTGGTCTACATAGTGAGTTCCAGGACAGCTGGGGCTACAGGGAGACCCTGTCTCAAAAAGACAAAACACAAACAAACAACAAACAAACAAAAAAAACTATTTCACTGTTTCTAAGAGAATTAATCAATCACACTGTAGCCACTCAGGAATATTTACACTTTATAAAGTTAAATATATTTTATACAATTTTGTAATATTCAGCCTAACTGTAAAATGTTCTGAAATTAATCATGTAGTAAGCAGTTGTTCCATGCTCTTGAAATAATAAACTATGTAAATAAACTAACAAGTTCTGATTTCTACTATATTTGTTTAGTTTATTCTTTCATAGCACAATATGATTTACAGATTGGTCTTTGATTTTATATGTTTTCACTTAAATTAGGGGATTACATATTAACATTATTTTAAAGATTTTCTTAAAATGTTCCATTTGTGTGTTCTCTGAAAAACTTCCTCAGTCATGGACAGAATGCTGTGAAAGGGTAATGTATGCATTTGGATTCAGTACCTGGATCTAAGTTGTTACTTTCTTGCTTAATTAACTTAAAATAAGTCTTAAGTAAGTAAACTTCTCTGAATCTCAGTTTTCTGGTTTAAAACGATGAAATAAATACGTTTGCAATAAGGGCTTCATACAGTCAATGAGGTCAATCTATTAATGCCCTACATGCTCTGACTGCCAGGTACCAACGGTAGTAATTATTAGGATCTCCTAAAATCTAGTACCAAATGATTTCTTAATTGTTGTGTTTGCAATTTACCTTTTTACACATTCTTAAAAATTTAACCTGCATAAGATTATGCATTTTAAAGTCGGGCATTGAATCTTATTAACTTGCAGTGTAACATACAATTTTTCTGGAGCACTGAGTAAATGAATAATTCAATTCTGTCTTTCTTAAAATAGTCAATGAGCCTTAGCAGCACACTACTACACAGAATAAAGAAAGAGGAGTTTGGAAAATTATGAATTCCTATGAACAAAGTGGGCAGACAGTGTTCTCTATGTTCATAAAGGTTTGCTGAACTGCTGGATCACAGTCTACCAATTACTGACTTTTGTTAGTGTATTGGGAATATAAAATGTTGAAATCTAAACTAATTATTGTTTACCATTTCCACTGACGAAATTTCTGTTTATCCCTTCCATGGATGAAATGTTTATGTCACTGATGTTTCTCCTGGTCATAATTAAGCAGACTGGGCCATAGATTAGAAAAGGTACTTGTATCATCTATGAGGAAGAATTGCTAGCTGTCTCCCCCTCCTGGAATTAGTCTACTGTTCTCTGAATAGAGAATGTTTGGAAATGCTTTTATTTCCTTTTGGCTCCACTGATCATTGTTGTGAGTGGCAGGAGGTATGTAGTGCATACTGGATGAGGAAGGTCAGTCACTCAGTTTAAAGAAAAGTTATAGACTACTGATACAAACAGATGATGATTGATAATAAAAAATAGTGATTTTTATCAGAGATTATGCTAATTTACAAACACTCTTCACCAGTTTGAGAGTAACATTTAGGCTTTTTAAAAACAAAACAAAACAAACACCATAGGTTACTTTTTGCCACATTTCTCTTCTTTTAAGCTGGTCATAAAATTCAGAGCCACATGAGGCTGACCCTTGACATGCTATACCTTAGCGAAAAATATGAAACCAAATCATGCTCAGGGAACACAACAGAGCATTTCAAATGACTTCAGACCTAACTCAATGAAAATGCTGCATTTTGATAGTCAAAACACATACTTTTTCATACTTAAGTATGATTAAGTTATGATCCAAAATGCTATCTGTAGCTAGTGTATGACCACATTAATACTAGTTTCAAATATCAAATAAGCTCTGCTCCAATTAAGCCTTTTACTTCTAACCTAAGTCAGAATCATGTCTAAATCATTATTAATAAAAACTAAAGTACAGCTGGCTGTTGTGGTACGTGCCTTTAATCTCAGGATTTGGGAGGCAGAAGGACGCAGATCTCTGTGAGCTCTATACCAGCCTAGTCTACATAGTGAGTTTAAGCCAGCCAGGGTTACAAAGTGAAATCATGTCTCAATGAATAAACACATAGACATATTTCACTCTTCTTTTAAAATTCTGCTTTTTTATCTCCCCTCCTTCCTAGAAGACAGGAATTTAGAGTGATGCATAAGGTGAGATACTCTCCTGTCGGATTTCAGGATCATTATTCTGAGATAATGATATGCATCTAAAGTTCTTTAAATCTGTCAGCATATTTTTTCCTTTGCTGAGAATGGCACCATGCACAGCAGAGAGGGGCTCTACCTGTTGAGCTGCAACCCTGACACCAAATAAACAATATTTTTAGTGAGAGTTGGACAATATGTTAACATCCTTAATGATTCCATTGACTGTTTTAATATCTTCTGCATAGAATACATGAAGTATTCTAATTTGCAAATATGAATAATGTGTTTCCTATTTTTCTTTCTAGCTAGAACTTGGCATGGTTTCATATAGTTGGGTATATAATCAACTTATTATAATATTATGCTAAATAAAATAAAAAAATTTGTTCAAAGATATCCGCTATTCCACTATTGGAAAAATAGATATACATAAATGATATGTGGACATTTATTCTCATATAAAGTACTTTAAAATTATTAATTTAAAGCACATACAGAGCACTTACAGCATGCTAGGCACCACTGTGTACATAAGAGGCAACACTATATCATTTCCATTTTGGAGATGGAGAAACTGAGACACAGAAAGATTAACTTGCTCATTTCTATTTATGTAGTTGGTAAAATATTACAGCCTGGATTTCAACACAAGCAATCTGTTTCTAATGTCTAGTCTTTGAATCCACACTTTATATAGAAAAATAAACAACACACACACACACAGAGACACACAGACACACACACACAGGCACACACACACATTGAATAATAACCAAAGGAGAAAAAAGGTATGAATTCTTCTCATCATCTTTGAAATCAATAACTGGTTTTATAAAGTACACTTTTTGGATAAAGTTGACATCCTGGGAAAGCAATGTTAACCTAATTTGCAAACATTATTTATGAATTAATGACTGGCCATGTCTCATACACTATAAAATACTAAGAGCAGCAAAGATTCTCACTAGAAATCACATATGATGAAAAATAAAATTCATAGCATTGTTTCCCGGAAGACATCCCCACAGCATTGTTTCCATCCATCTGAGTTTCTATTGTGCAGTTTCAATCAAGATGTAGACATTTCCAGACTAAGATATTTCATCCTAAATTCCACACTTCCATTATTTTTTTCTTTTTAATCAGCACTATGTCATTCCTTTTTCAATCTGCCACCTATGGATAAATGACATTTTAGGGAAGGCTTAGTAATATGCCATTTGGGGGTGAGATTGTTTTTAGCATGTGAAGGACAGAGAAGGTGAACAGGAAAGAACACAGGAGAAATGTGAATAAATGAAGCAGTCTAACACATGCAGAATCAATCATTATTACACTGGACATATGTGATTAAGTGTCTTCAAAACAATGAGCCTCATCAATCAGCATCCTTTATGCACTGGGAAATCAAATCATCTTGGGAGAGAACAGACAAGGCCACCTCCTCAGAGTTACACATCAGAGCCAAGCGCCCACAGCAGGAATGATCTTCCGTGGCCTGCAAACTTCTATAATGTTAAATATTCATATACGAATGTGATTAGACTAGGGTGAGGCATGCATTTCAGACAGAGGGCAAAAAATGTGTAATTCAATTCTATGAAAACTTCATAGCTTAAATATATTAATAAGAGTTCAACATACTATGTTATACCCTCGAGAAATGCTGTGAGCTTTTCAATGCTCCTTCAGACAAAATAACACAGAAGTTAAAGTTATATATTTGTATTTTTTGAAATATTTTATCTATTTATTTTTATTTTATGTGTATGAGTATATTACCTGCATGTATTTAAGTGTACCTGTACTGTGTGCAATGCCCATGGCAGTCAAAAGAGGGCATCAGATTCCCCTGGGACTGGAATTACAGGCAATTGTTAGCCACCATGTGGGTGCTGGGAATTGAACGCAGGTCCTCTGCAAGAGCAGCCCATGCTCTTAACCACTGAGCCATCTCTCCAGCCCCATATTTGTATTAAGGAAATAAAATCACTAAGATTTGTGCCTTTACACATATGTCTTATTTACCAAATGGGCTATAACATAGCACAACAATGTTGGGTGTTTCTTCCATCATTTTTGCTAGAGTACTTCCAATTTAGAGTCAATAAACTCTATTTAAGAGATATAATTAAAATATATCTTTCAGGAGCTATTTAAATTTTTTTTTATTATTTTTATTTTATATGTGTGCATGTATTGCCTGCATGTAAGTAAGTTCACCCGTGTCATGCAATGCCCACGGAGGACAGAAGAGGATGTCAGATCCCTTGGAACTGGAGTTATGGACAGTTATTAACTGCCATGTGGGTGCAGGGATTTGAACCTGGGTCTTCTGCAAGAACAGTGTTCTTAAATGCTGAGCCATCTCTCCAGCCCCTTAATTAACTTTTGTAGAAATATTTACATGCAGTATTCTGCTTATGTTCTAGTGGGCATTGTACCCATGCCCAGGATTATAAAGAAGAAATAGGAATTGTTGTAACCTTTATCAACATTAACTCTGCACATGTCTGGAAGGTTTAGTATGTCTGTGTATGAAAAGTAAATAAAATTGACATAGTTATCCAGATATATTTCAGGCAAAATTGTGGCTTTGCTTATACTATGAAGTTATTTAAGACAAAATCGTACTTTTTGTGTATGAACTCCAAATAGTTATAATTTCCCCCTGTATTACAGCCATCACAGTTACCTGGTTTGTAATTTCATAGAGCTTCTTTGGAATGAATTCACTTAAGGGGCTTTTGAAGATGACAAAATCATTTCTGTTTAAAAAATTGCAAGCTGGAATTGAATTATTTGAACAGATATGATGACCCAGTGTCTCTGAAAAATGTATTCTTAAAAACTGCAACCATAGCCGGGCATGGTAGTCCACGCCTTTAATCCGAGCACTCAGGAGGCAGAGGCAGGCTGATCTCTGTGAGTTCAAGGCCAGCCTGATCTACATAGTAAGTACCAGGACAGCTGGGGTACAGGGAGACCCTGTCTCAAAAAGACCAAAAAAAAAAAAACAAAAAAAAAAAAAAAAAAAACAAAACAAAAAAACCCTGCAATCATTTGGTTTATCAACTGGTCTAAATACAAATATCCCTTCTATTACTTTAAACAGATTTATATGTTTCAAAGTATGTTAAACCAAAGCGTAAGAATAAAAGCAGTAGGACATTGTTACTTCAGTATTCTAATGAAGCATGCTGGGCTTTAACATTCCAGAGTCTCCTACAGTAAACAAGCAGCACTTATGGTAATTACAGGCTACCTCTGCATGGGATATTTTTATTGAGTTAGTAAGCTGCTTAAGTGCATAGAGATGACTGAATTATTTCCTCAAAGATGCTGTCAATCAAACAGCTTACAATACTATATAAAGCATTTAGCTCACAGTCTAAATGCAGATCTTGGGTGTCCTTTTAGCATAGACTATAACATGTAGCTTACTGTTTTTCTGTCAGTGCAAGGCAATAAATTTGGTAAACATAGTTCTCTGTATACTAATGTGACATAGTACAATGTTAATACTCTGAAAATATATGCAAAAATCTGGATACAAATGTATAAAGAATCAAGAAATAAGAGAAAATAGTGTAAATGCCATAAAATAAACTTCCTTCTGAGAATTTGTTGAAGGGCTGAAACTAAACAGATGAATAACGACTGGATAGAGCTGGAAAAAAAATGCATGCTGGAGTGTGGGAATTTTAATGGATATCAGACTTAATTAGTAGTAATATTATTAGAGAATAAGTCTTCAAAGGAAAGCAAATTAAGAAGGCAAACATTAGGGTGGATTACATTTCTCTGAGTGTATAAAATTCATCCCTCATCACCAAATGTTTTCTGAAGGAAAAATACTGTACACAAAGCTGTCTCCCACTTTGGTTACTTGATGGTTTAAAGTCCTGCCTGTCGCCATATGTCCTAGCCCTGCTTCTTCACCATCGTTCCTACCAATGCACACATTCCCACTGCAGACAAATCATGCGTAGACGTTGTTGGAACAATGAGGATGTTTCTTCTGATAGTGTTGAAGAAGTCAGTACTCTTCCTCTTCTGCCGGGATCTTAAGAGTTTTTGCCAAAGTAAACAAGTTTTGCTGATTTTGGATTTGGCTACTCAAATAGTGCACCCAAGTTAATTTCCCATAGCCAACATGGTCACTCTACTTTTACTTATGGGAGCATTTAGAATCCAATCTCCTATTTGTGTGTAGCTGCCCGAGAACACAAAGCTCCTTCTTACCTGTGTGGTAAAACTTCCCTGAAAATCCAAGGTTGAAGGTAAAATTTGCAACCTGAGTGCGCAGTAAATTTTGAGTCTCTAGTAATGCCTGAAATAAATAAGAAATTAACATGATTTTAGAAAAATAAATATGAAGCTTTGGGATGCTTCTTTTGCAAACGTGTGCATGACAGAAACAAAAATGAGCTTTGCTGTGGCTGTTTCTGATGGGCAGTGCTTGCGCATTCACATTTTAGCTGTTGTAATTATTCTGCATGTTATTGAAGGTCACCAAACTGAAACAGTTAAATCCTAAGCACATTATGCTTTGCCGAGAGCCAGTTCTTCAACTGCACAACCTTGAAATCATTTTTCATTTTATTTGAGACATTTCTCGAATTTCAGATTATTATATTTCCTTTCCTTGGGGAAAATATTTTTTCAGAATTGTTGGTATAGAGAAGTCCTGTATATGTTACTAAGGAATAGGATGAACTTTTATTTGAACTATAATTGTTATTTAACTGTGTTTCCTCTCTAATAAATTGTAAGGCAAAATTATTGATCTAAAAGCTTGATTTTTTTTTTTACTTTACAAACTAATGTGCAATGTATATTTTATAAGTTATTGCTTGCAGATCTGAAAAAGAAAAACATGTAGGAATATGTTAGCAGTTCCACAAAGAAATATTTTCAGCATAGAAAATATTTCCCTTAAATTTCAGATTTATATTTGTACTATTAAAACTTCTGATTTATAGACAGGATAAAAACACATTGATACAAATCAGTTTTAATTACTAATATAAATAGTCTACCAGTCTTCCAGTAATATCCTCCTATCATAAACTATGCTATACAGTTCAGAATTCCTTCATGTTCTTGTTTGAGTATTGGTTAATTATTGATTTATTGACTCATTGTGTTTTTCCACCTGTAAATGGATTTTATAAGAGGAATTTTTCTAACGGAAAAACTGGAGCTACTAACACCTTTGCATATTGACTACTGTCATACATCTGTGAAGGTGAATAAGGGGTCACAGTTTAGATTATTTCTTTGGCATTAGTCCTGATAGCTAAGCTTTTTCTTCAATCATTTATGATCCTAACTATTCCTTAGTTTAATTTGAGTGAAAGGGAGAGAAAGAAAGATGGAAGGAAGGAAGGAAGGAAGGGAGGGAGGGAGAGAGGGAGGGAGGGAGGGAGGGAAAAGTGATCAAATAAATGTTATTAAAACTAATCGGTGGTCCAAGAACATAATTACTTTTGAAATAACTATTATGAAAATGGACAGCCTTTGCAATATTATGGTAATTATGAACTTTGCAGCAGGAACTATGTGAGGCAAGTGCTTAGGTGTGAGGGAGGTGAGCAGGAGTCTTCCCACCCTTCCTCTTCTGGTTGCCCAGAATGGAGGTCTTTGTTTTTCAAAGTTTTCACATTCCTATATGTATTGTTTTTCAAAGTTTTCATGTTCCTATGTGCTGTTTTGCCTTTTGTTTTCATTTCCCCACATATGAGTATAAAAACTTTCCAAAACTTGAACAAGGGGACCAACTCCTTTTATTCATGGGGTCAGTCCCACTGGCATAAAATTATTAAACTTCCTTTCCTCACTTGACTATGGCTGATGGTCTCTGAATTTTCTGTAAAGTAACCATGGCCCATCCCATTTAAAGATTATCAATAAAAGATAAGCTGGGTGTGATAGTGTTCTCCTTTGATCCAGCAGCACTCATTTAGGAGGCAGAGGCATGTAGAGCTCTGGGACTGAGGCCAGCTTGCTCTACAGAGTGAATTCCAGGCCAGCTGGGGCTACAAGGAGACCCTGTCTCAAAACAAAATGAAGCAAAAGACAATGGAAGACAGATTATTTTACTCGGTTCTATCAACTATTTAAAAATTTCTTACAAAGATGAAAGCAAATATTTAAAAAAAGGTTGCCATCAAAAATGAAGTGTATGAAACTAACTGGGCTTATTGATAAATGCAGTGGGGTATAACATTCAAAACAGATTACGCATGTTTCTCTTAGCAAGTTACTTCTCCCCTCCCTTTTGTTCAATGATAAATCCTTGTGATTCAATATTTTGAAATGTACATTTTTATTTCCTCCCTGCCTCTTTCCCCCTCCAATTCTATTTACTGAGTTTTTTTCTCTGAGTTCTTCAGGCCATTTCTTATTTTATGTGTATTCATCATTGCTTCTCAAATTCAGTAAGGACTTACTACAGTGTTAGGTTTAATAAGCATGAACCACACAATCCTGAGCCTGAGTGGTGAGGAGAGAGAGAGACAGAGAGAGAGAGAGAGAGAGAGAGAGAGAGAGAGAGAGAGAGAGAGAGAATATATACACACACACATACACACATTATATAAACAACATATATTTATGAGCCTGCTACCCTCTTTTATAAGCCCTTATATCCTTTATTCTTGGGCTTCTAAAAGACTGCTGTGAACAGTGTTTATACCTTCCATTTCCCGCACTGGAAATGCACTGCAACATTGGTTCAGGGAGGCTGTTTGATTAACAGCTCAAAATTTATCAGGCATTCTGTCATTTTCCCATGTAGATAAAATGCAATAGTGTTGAACACTTATTTCATAATGCTATTGTAAGGACTATATCATAGAGGACCTGCAAAGTATTGTTTCCTAAAAAGTGCAAAAGCAATAAATAATGTTTGTGAACTCTGGAGTTGTCAGTCTCTTCCCGTAAATCATATGTCCTATATGTATTTCCTTTTCCTTCACTTCAGCAGGGCCTCCTTAAATTGAACTCTCTTCCTCTCCCATGTGTCCCCATGACTTCCTCCCTCTCTTCCCTCTGCCTAGAAAGCCACCTCTGGTCCCAATCTCATTCCCTGACCCTGCCTATCTTTAAACCGCTGTCCAAATATCATCTTTCCATAGGAAGTCTCCCCTCCTTCCTCAAAGCTTTTTCTGTTTCTAAATTAGTTTCTTAGAATGTGCATAATTTTCTGCTTTGTTACATGTAGTCTGCATCCTATTTCAGCCTCTAGACAAGAAGAATGTTCAGGTGGATCAAATCTTACTCATTTTTGTATGTGTGAATGCTATTCAAAGTTGAATAAAAGCATGTGAATGTGCACAACAATAAATGGGATTCATTACATTTATTTTGTTAGTAACAGTTTCCCGGTACTAAAAAAAAAAAGGTTAAAATGAAAGCT